TCAACTAGCGATAATAATTAGATCTCTCTCGAATGAATTCGAATAATGACTTTAAATCTCATCGGCAATTGGTTTTGTTTACTTCGACCGTGTGTGCCCGTGTGTCCGTGTCTCACTCTTTCTTTGTGTGTGTGTGTGTGTGTGTGTACATGCGTGTGTATGTGTGTATATATATATGTTGTCCATGTGTATATATGTGCGGGGGTTGTGTGTGACTGAATACCTGTGTGTATGTATGCGTGTGTGTATGTATCTATATATGTGTGTGTGTGTGTATGCTCTTGTATGTGTGTTTTTTCTTCTTTCTTTTTTTTTTTCTTTTGCCTCTTTTCTTCCTTTTGCCATTGGGCTCCGCGATACAAAATACAATTAATTAATTTGTTAACCTACCTACTATGTACACATATCACTATGTGCGTATGCACGGATGGACAGGCGCACGAGCGTCATGTGTCTGCGTGTGAGATTCCGCATACGTACATAAGATCGTTTAAAAATTTTCTGCGTAGTAAAAATGTGCAACGATTCGTTATATAAGAAGTTATCAAAGAGATTCACGTACATATACATAAAAGTTCGTGATAATATAAATATCCGAGATAAAATGTGACATGTATGTATGTATATACTTGGACGATGGTACGAACACACATAAACGAGTGAAAACCGATATCGTGCGATAAATAAAACTTTAAGAATTGTATGGTTAATTCGATCGTCACTTTCTTTAATCCGTGCGTATTAAAACGCAACTTTGCCTCCTCCTCCTCCTCCTCCTCCTCCTCCTCCTCCTCCTCCTCATCCTTCTGCCTACTTTTTCTCTTTTTTATGTCTTTTTGTTTTTCTCTTTTTTCTTCTCCATTTTTTTTCCTCTTTTCTTTCCTTTACTTTTCATTTCATCTCCTTTCTTTTTTTCCCCCCGTTTCTCATATCTTTCTCGTTTAATCTTATTTTTGCGCATCAATGACGCGCACGAATTATGCCTTCGGTTACGATGAAAAACGTGTCGAATTCATATTTTTCTCCGAGGACTTTTCTCCTCCTCCTCTTCCTCTCCCTACAACTACTATTAGTACTACTACCACTACTACTACTACTACTACTACTACTATTCCTACTACTCTAGTCCTACTCTTCGCCTTGCTCGCGAAATGTGTAATTTTCATTTCTAAACGATCTCGAAGAGTTTTTCGACCGATATAGAGATACCTATACCCTCCTCCTCTTCCTCCTCTACCACCATCTCCACTACCTCCTCCTCATCGTCTACCTTCATTTTATTCGTTCTTCGCGAAACTGCCGTACGAAACTTGTTAATTCCGCAAAAGCCGCGAGGCAAAAGAAGAAGCGATAGAGGCTCCGGGGAAATCTGTAAAACTCGAACATTATAAAACTTGCAATGTATGCGGATACAAAAGTTCTTTTTTATTTTCTTTATTTTTTTTTTTTTCCCCACGCCCCCCACTTTTTGTCTTCTTCTCTTTTCGCTCCCTTTGTGTTCTTTTTTTCTTTTTCTTTCTTTTCTTTCATTTTTTTTTCTTTTTTTCTTTTTTTTTTTTTTCTTGTTCCTTTAAGTTTCCGTTTTACTTCCCTCTTATCGAACGGTCGCGGATATGATCCGATAAAGTATCTTCCTCATAATCCCCGTACCATTTTATATTTCGAATTTCATAACACGTTGTTCGTCGAAACGAAGGCCATTTTTCCCGAGGATATATATTTTATATATATATATATATATATATCCTTACACATACCGGCGCTATTTCAAAAATATCATTTATGTCGTTTACGCCATCGCACCGAAGTTCTTTTCATTTCTAATACTTTTAAGAAACCTTTCTCTCCCCCCCACGCCCCCCCCCCACTCCGCTCTCCCATTTCTTCATACGCGAAGCATATTTTTTTGTAGATCATTTTTCTTTTTTTTTTCAGTTTTCTTTTTTTTTTTTTTCCTTTTTCCTCTTTTTTTTCCCTTCGTCATCTTTATCATAAGAGATACAATAATAATAATTATTATTATTATATTTATGTAATACGATTATTCTCTACATTTAATTTCGTATATTAGTATAATATTCTCATTAACGTTTAGAGAGTTTATATGTAATTATATCGAATTTAAGGAACTGGCATTATTAGCAGGAGCAGAAGAATTTTCTTTCTCTCTACGTTCGATTTCCCAAGAGTCACCGATTATTGAATAGGTTCATTAACGAAACGATAATGAATCACAACCTTCAAACTTAAGTATTACACCGGTAGGAACGGATTCATCGAAGTAAACAAATATCGAAGAGATAAATAAAGAGAGAAAGAGAGAGAGAGAGAGAGAGAGAGAGAGTGAGAGAAAGAGAGAGAGAGAGATGTATCCTTTCGACGCAACAAAATGATCGGTTACCCTTGGAAAATTTTTAATTCAAACGTTCCTTTCTTTTTTTTTTTTCTCTCTCTTATATTTCTGCATTTTTTCCCTTTCTCTTTTCTTTCCTTTCCTTTTTCTTTTTCAATATATTCTATTGCACGTTTCTCAATTCCTCTACTTCTACTTTTTACCATTTACTCTCTTTTTATTCTCTTAAGACTCGACGATGATAATAATAATATTAATAATAATTATTATCCATAATTATACGTAATGATATATATATATATATATATATATATATATATAAATATAAATATATATATATGTAATATTCGTAATAATAAGAATAATAATGATAATAATAATAATAATAATAATAATAATAATAATAATAATAATAATAATAATAATAATAATATATTGTAATTGCAATCAATATAATAATTAATTATATATCATCACTGTTTTGTCGTTGCCATTATTTAATTATTCGACTTATATACTCCTTATTCAATGTACAATTTCTACGATATTTTTAGACCTCTTTTTGTTGTTCACGCGATTCATCTAAGAATTCTATAATAAATTATCTTCGTACGAATAAATTTCTTTTCCCTTCTTATCTTTTCTTTTCTTTTCTTTTCATCATTTTCGTCTTATCATTTTATTCCCTTTTCCTTATCCCTTCTCCACCAATCCATCCAAAAATTCAATCGTATCTATTAATCGTTCCCTTTCGAATTTACGCGAGAGAGCTGTCAAACGTTGCTTTCCTATACCGACTACTACTTTAATTGTACTCCTTATAGTACATAATACACATACGTACGATACATACGTTGTATATATATATATATATATATATGTATATATATATATATATATAATCCGTGTCTCCATTTCTCTTCCTTTCTATCTTTTTTTCTTTTTACTCCTTTCTTTTTCTTATTCTTTTTTCTTTTTCTTCTTCTTTTGTATTCAGCTCAGAGTGACCAAGTCAGCGGATATTCGATCTACAAGAGCATTTTTCTCAATAAAATCGGATAGACACATACACATACACACATATATATATACACATATATATGTATATATTGACATATATATATATATATATATATATATATATATATACATGTATTTTCTAGACAAATCACCCTCTTCGATTTCTCTCCCTCTTATCTTCTTTTCGCTGAGCACGACTTCCGTTCTTTCCTTCGCTTTTTTTCCTCTTTTATTATACCGAGAAACGCGCGCGCGTCCTTTTCAAGTTTTCTCCTACTTCTCTTTACTTCGTAACTAAACACACACGAGTACGATGCTACGTGTACG